TTCTGAAAAGAAGCGAAACTGTATGAACACCGTAGAGGTATTAATTGTTACTGCCATTATAAATCTAAACTGTTACTGTCACGTCATGTAACAACAGGAAGTGTAAAACCACGTTAAAATTCAGTTAATAAATTTTATTCAGAAAAATCAAAGTAAATTTTAAACATACAAAAATTTCCTCTTAATAAGAACATTATAAAAGAAGAGAATCAATTTACATACATTTTGAAATACATTTTTTAACAGCATATTCATTCACTTAATAATAAAATCTAGTTAGTTTATATACACATCACATAAAAAAAAATTTGAAAAATAATTTTGTATAAATATGATAAAACATTGTAGTTTATAACTGAAGAAGAAATTACAACGAAGATAACGAGAGGCGGATATTAATGGATAAACCAAATGGAAATATGAGGAAACAAAATTATATGAATGAAAAGAGTAAAAATAATCTCGTCAACGAAGAGAAAGAAATGAGTTTGAGAGAAGACTAGAGAAGAAATTCAATATTAAACGGAGGTGAAGTGGAAATGAACACTGAATGGGCCAACCACACCACTGAAGTGATTTTCTTTACACCTTTTTCAACACAAAACTTTTATGGTCATGTCTATTTTGATGTGTCTTCTTTACTCTTCTAATAACCTTTACCTGAGATGGCTATTACTTCATTCGGCTTTTTTTCAAGAAGTAAAGATTTATTGATCTAGATTTGGTCGCTAACTTAGATATATCGTGTTACAGTAGTTGTGGTTCGGGGATGACTGTATGGTTCATGATTTATTGTTGTGTTTTATGATTCTGTTATTCTTCATCACGTAGAAGATTACAGGTGTTTGTACATCATTAATCCTGATCAGATCATGAGTTCCTTTCTGGACACTGATTAATTATAGGTGTTTTCATGAGTACACCGAGAAGATTATGTCCAGAAGAACATTAGGAAAACGATTAGAAACAGACTAACACAATCTTGTTCATTATAAGAACGACGAACTATATTTTAATGGTTATTTCGAAGTATAACTGGATATTTTATGTAATTTTCACATTATAATACGAGTTAACCGTAACTTTTAGTTTAGAAAATATCTATAACAAACAATTGATAGTATTTATTGCTCGAAATTGATAACGTGTTGCAGGCAAACTTTTATTGTGATCTTGGGGGAAGGGTGAGTGTGAGTAAAGGTGGAGAAAAATAAACAAAAGAACTGTATAGAAAACGTTTATTATACACATTGGGCAACACAGCATCTTACAGTTTGTGAATCTTTCGTAGTTTTGCTGCGTCGTCTAGCGATGTCCTGAAATATAGTGAAACATTACAATTATATCAAGGCTTTGTGACTACAACTCAAAAATTTATGTACTGAAGCCACATTGAATAATTTTTCATATTTATAAATTAAATATTTTGTATATAAAATTTTGAAGTTTATAAAAATTGGTAAAAGCAAATTGTTTTGTCTGAAAGTTCACCTACAGTTTTATTATATTGCTATTCGACTTCTGGGCGTTATTTACGCCATCAAAGACAGTGATTTAGACACTGATAAAACTTACCATTTTACTTTCCATATCCACCATATCCACCACCGCCATAGCCGCCGCCACCATATCCACCACCACCATAGCCGCCACCGCCATATCCACCCCCACGTCTTCCTCCGCCATAGCCACCTCCACCATATCCACCGCCGCCATATCCACCGCCGCCATATCCTCCACCACCGCCATATCCACCTCCACGGCCCCCGCCACCATATCCACCACCCCCACCACCATGTCCTCCTCCACCATATCCACCACCCCCACCACCATGTCCTCCTCCACCATATCCACCACTAGGTGCGGGGCTGGCCATGGTGACAGCACAGGAGGCGGCCAGGAGCCACAGGGCGATGACCTGAGAAACACAACAGAAACAACAACATGAGGATGGTATGACATTAGTTTAATGCTATCAATGTTATGTGAAGTTTCCTGACCATTTTTGTGATGAATAACAGATTAAGTCTAAACCTGAATGTGCACCAATTTGACAATATACCAGTTTTGATGCAATTGACAACATCTTGGCAGGTAGGAAGTTACAATACTGTAGACCTACACAATTTCTGAATTCATAAATATTTGTCTACTCACAAGAAATTATGATTTGTGATAATGAAAAAAAAATAATTGTGGAATTCACACAAGTTGGGTTTATACACAACTCACCGTCTTGGAAACCATTGTGATTCTCAGGTCGATCCTCTGATAGGTGAGGAAGCTGGAGACAAGTTAAGGCACTCGTGTGTGAGTGCCAGCGACGACTGTGCCTGGCCTGGCTCCATGGTGGGCTATATACCGACAGACAGCAGCAGCAGCAGCAGCAGCAGCAGCAGCAGCAGCAGCAGCAGGGGATGACCTGGCATGAACCACCACAAACACACTACATCATCATCCTGGATGATTCATTCACCAAGGTCGTTGTTGTCACTCCCGCGATTGTTCACCTTTTTCACTCTTAAATATTTCCTTCTTTTTGTTATATAGTTTCTCGTTAATTAATAAAATGTTCTCGCGGTTAATTTTAGGAATTAAGACACTGAACACCAGCTTGACTATTGACTCTATACACAAAGAATGTGGGACCTGTGTAAGTTACTTCATATTTCTTGAATGTTGTGTAAATATAACAAATTCCAACAGTGATATTAGTTTCAGTATTTTTATGAAAGGTAAAGCTAATGAACATATAGACTCCAGTCCTTAACCTTTATGTAACAATTAATTTCCTGAAAATGCCGAGTGCCAAGATCCAGCTATGGCAGTGTTAGGAGTAATAAGTGTCAGTGTTACTTTTTTCTTCAGAATAATTAGTTTGTAATTTGTTATTATTACCATCGTCATAGATATTATATTATCCTTAAATTATATCATGAAATGCTAAGAATCCGTAAATTTTATTCATTCACATTACATATTTTTCAGTACATTAATATCAATCATAAAGACCGAAGTATTATAATTATTTACATTATTTTATCAACCTCCTTCACGCCTAGATAATTATCATGGCATACTTTTCATAATTGTTATAAGAGAATGAATGAACTAAGAACAAGTTTATATAAATTATTTTCAATCTTTTTATCCTTAACTCACGTTAAGTTTAAGAAAGTGAATCACAAGCTTTTACATTAACTTCATTGCCTTCATATATTATTTAATTTCATTAATATGTTCATTGCTCAGCTTGAGTTTCGTCGAAAGTCTTTGTCATTACTATATTTCTGCTACATTTTGTATTTATTTTTATATAATTTAATATTTGTGTTGACATCATCAGACACTCACTCCTGTACGAGTATACTGTATGTTAACATCTCCATCACTAAATGAGATGTTCGCTTTTGTGGTCTAAACCTCCTTCTCCTTCCTTGATACAGACTAATACTGAAATATGGCATCATCTTATCTTAGATGACCTGTATATTTGTAATCTTAATCGGGTTGTCTTGAGGCTTTAGCATGAGAGAGGTATCGTATGGCTCATTTGTGTCTGCTAAGGAACCACTGTGTTTAGAACATTTACCTCTCTATTTATAGGTTAATCTGTTTACTAAAAGCAGCTTACTGTACAGATATTATATATAATTATATGAGTACAAACAATTATTCCATACATTTCGTTTTTTTCCCTCATCTAATATTTGTATACCAAGAAACCTTCCATGAGCTCCATCTTTTTTTAGCTACACGTACACAAGGTCATGTATAAAACTCATTCCATACATTCAATCACCAAATCGGATAACTCTTAAATTCGAAAAACATTTTTTTTAAAGTTTTTGGGAGTTAACGTATTATGATTTTATGAAGAAAAATATTGACATCTCTTTTAGTTTCCATTTTCTGAAAAGAAGCGAAACTGTATGAACACCGTAGAGGTATTAATTGTTACTGCCATTATAAATCTAAACTGTTACTGTCACGTCATGTAACAACAGGAAGCGTAAAACCACGTTAAAATTCAGTTAATGAATTTTATTCAGAAAAATCAAATCAAATTTAAACATACAAGAAGTAAAAGTTGATTTTTCTCTTCATAAGAACATTATAAAGGGAGAGACTCAATTTACATACATTTTGGAAATATATATTTTCAACATCATATTCATTCACGTAATAAATAAAATCTAGTTACTTTATATTCACATCAGATATAAAAGGAAATGAGTTTGAGAGAAGACTAGAGAAGAAATTCAATATTAAACGGAGGTGAAGTGGAAATGAACACTGAATGGGTCAACCACACCACTGAAGTGATTTTCTTAACACTTATTTTAACACAAAACATTTGTGTACTGACAGAAAGCCTTTGTGGTCATGTCTATTTTGATGTGTCTTCTTTACTCTTCTAATATCGTTTACCTGATATGGGCTATATTACCTCTTTCTTCTTTTTCAACAGGTAAAGATTTATTGATCTAGAGTTGATCGCTAACTTAGATATATCGTGTTACAGTAGTTGTGGTTCGGGGCTGACTGTATGGTTCATTATTTAGCGTTGATGTGTTTCATGATTCTGTTATTCTTCATCAGGTAGAAGATTACAAGTGTTTGTACATCATTAATCCTGACCAGTTCATGAGTTCCTTTCTGGTCACTGATGAATTATATATATTTTCATGAGTACATTGAGAAGATTATGTTTCGAAGAACATTAGGAAGGCGATTAGAAACAGATTAACACAAGCTTGGTCATTATAAGAACAAGGAACTATATTTTAATGGTTATATGGAAGAATAACTCGATATTTTATGTAATTTTCACATTATAATACGAATTAACCGTAACTTTTAGTTCATAAAAGATTTATAACAAACAATTGATAGTCGTTTATTGCTCGAAATTGATAATGTGTTGCAGGCAAACTTTTATCGTGATCTTGGGGGAAGGGAGAGTGTGAGTAAAGGTGGAGAAAAATAAACAAAAGAACTGTTTAGAAAACGTTTATTATACACATTGGGCATCACAGCATCTTACAGTTTGTGAATCTTTCGTAGTTTTGCTGCGTCGTCTAGCGATGTCCTGAAATATAGTGAAACATTACAATTATATCAAGCCGTAGTGACTACAACTCAAAAATTTATGTACTGAAGCCACATTGAATAATTTTTCATATTTATAAATTAAATATTTTGTATATAAAATTTTAAAGTTTATATAAATTGGTAAAAGCAAATTGTTATGTCTGAAAGTTCACCTACAGTTTTTTTACATTGCTATTCGACTTCTGGGAGTTATTTACGCCATCAAAGACAGTGATTTAGACACTGATAAAACTTACCATTTTACTTTCCATATCCACCATATCCACCACCGCCATAGCCGCCGCCACCATATATCCACCACCACCATAGCCGCCACCGCCATATCCACCCCCACGTCTTCCTCCGCCATAGCCACCTCCACCATATCCACCGCCGCCATATCCACCGCCGCCATATCCTCCACCACCGCCATATCCACCGCCACGGCCCCCGCCACCATATCCACCACCCCCACCACCATGTCCTCCTCCACCATATCCACCACCCCCACCACCATGTCCTCCTCCACCATATCCACCACTAGGTGCGGGGCTGGCCATGGTGACAGCACAGGAGGCGGCCAGGAGCCACAGGGCGATGACCTGAGAAACACAACAGAAACAACATGATGATGGTATGACATTAGTTTAATGCCTCTCACTGTTATATGGAGTTTCCCGACCATTTTTGTGATGGACAATATCACCAATGTGTATATAAATCACCGTTCATGCAATTAGCAGCATCTTGACTGGGAGAAAATTACAGTCCTACATATTTTGTTTGAATTCATAAATACTTGTCTCCTCAAACAATTTGTGATTTGTAATAATAAATAATAAATTGTTGGGTTTACAAAAAAACTCACCGTCTTGGAGACCATGATGATCTTTAGGTCGGTCCTCTGATAGGTGAGGAAGCTGGAGACAAGTTAAGGCACTCGTGTGTGAGTGCCAGCGACGACTGTGCCTGGCCTGGCTTCACGACGGACTATATACCGGCAGCCAGCACAGCAGCAGGGGATGACCTGGCATGATCCACCACAAACACACATCATACTACGAGTACACTGTTAACCATCAAGGCCAATTTCTCAACGCCCTCTTAGATTCTCACGATGACTTCCCGCTTTTGTTCAACGCCTGCAGAGTCAAAAATTATTCTCTGGAGTATAACTTTCCTGGTAACTGACGACGAAACCGGAAGTTTTGAATTTAAAGCAGTTAGGATGTTCTTAAGCAGGAGTGTATATGCATATATGTGATCTTACTGTACAAAACACCCCGCGGTAGATCCTGGATACACACTCTAATGGGGAACCTTCTATTAATCATTATTCGGATTTTTTGGTCAATCATCATTCTCTGCGTCTTCCGTACATACAACAACGGTAATATTAGAGGCGAATAATTAGAAATAATTCTTCTTAGCGTAACTTACTAATTCTTGTAGAACAGAACTTTGGGTAATGTTTTCACGTGTAAGTGCATAAGAACCTAATTCAACGAAGACAAACAAAAACAGTAATCTACATTTATCTAAATTTCAACCACGAGTTAGAATAAATTCCAAAAATACCTTTACCTAGCTAAAAATTCAATTACAACCGAGAATAATTAAGAACGAGACTCCTGGGAAATAACATCCGCTTTGGTTTTGAGTAAAGCATAAATGCCTATCAGTCGACAATATAATAATGCTGTGTTTTGTAATTATCAGTGTTCCCATGTAAGTGTTTGAGCTCTTATGAAACACTCGTCAAGTTCCGCTCGTGTAGTTTAACATTTTTACCTTCTATTATATAATTACATTCTATTTCCTTGTTTCTCTGTATTTTCATTATTTAGTTTGACTGAGCATTGTTTTCCGAGTTACTTTATTCGTTTTGAAGTCTATAATAATAATGCAACTGTTTATAGTGACTTATATCACTAATTATTGGCATGAAACACACCAAAACACATCAACTGGTGGACATACACACGGGTTGCTATTTTGTCTCATAACCAAGATTAAAAACACTACACAATCCCCCTTTTTTTAATATGGCTTAATGATAAACCGTTCTCCCAGTCTTCACAATAAGCGATAGTGATCTTTCAATTATAATCAACAGAACGAAATCAACATTAAACTTCTGGGAACAAGACGAGTGACTGGGCAAAAGACTCGACGTTCTTATGAATTGTAAGGAAGTTTCCGCTCCTACTATTGCTCTACTGTCTACCTCTGACGGTCACTTGAGAGAGAGACAGAAGGAAAAACAGAGATATATATGAGATAAGAAAGGAAAGAGAGAGGAGAGGAAAAAAGGGGGAGAGCATGGGGGAGAGAGTGGGGGAGACAAAGAGAGGGAGATATGTCAACACGGCTGTGATAAGTGTGTGTGTGTGTAATAATAATAATAATAATGATTAACGGTTTATTGATAGAGCATGGCAACCGGGAGGCTGAAAATATACAGTTGCATAATTGGGGAATGGGTCTCTTGATTTACAAATAATATACAAGTAACATAAGTGATACAAATATGACATATAATAACTAGGTGGGGAGAAGGTTATACTACAGGGCATTTCGACATAGTAACAGTGCAAAAAGGTAAGATTGGCTGGGAGTGAATACACTGGTTGACTACAAGTTATTGATAATTTTTGCAATGGTTAGGACTGGGCTGTTCTTACAGCGATCAGTACGTGCTCGTATGGGTTGGATGCGGCTGTGGTGTTGAACAGCAATTCTCGGACGAGGGATCTCGGGTGGTAGTAAGAGCCGGTGTCGAGGATGGTGCTGAAGCTTCTCACCAAATTTGCAGATGAGGTCGTGGTGATGGTCAGAGAGAGCCGAGAGGGTCAGTGTGTTGAGCACTTCTTGATATGTGGAGTAGGAAGGGGAGAGAATAATCTTGTATGCACTCTTTTGCACTTTTTCTAGGTGTTTACGTTTTGTGGCATTTAGGGAGGAAGACCAGGTAGGGGAGGCATAGGTGAACTTGGGAAGTATGAATGTTGAGTAAACACTGAGTAGGTCTGGCGCAGGAATTCCAAGGGACTTGAGTCGGCGGAAGAGATGGAGACGGAAACTGGAGGATTTAACAACTTCACTGAAGTGTGTTTTCCAATTTAGTTTGTCTATGGTGACGCCGAGGAGCTTAGTGGAGTCTACAACCTGGAGTGGGTTGGGGCCTAAAGTAATGGAAGGGGGTGGGACAACGTCGGAGGAGAGGTTGGTGTGCATAACCATGGTCTTGGTATGGTTGATGATGACGTGGTTGTTGGTGGCCCAATTTTGGAGACTGTTCAATAAATCCTGGAGGGCGGTATAGTCGAGAGCCGAGTTATTGACACTGATCCCAATGGTGGAGTCGTCGACATATTTCCAGCAAGCAGGGGTTTCTCTTAGGGCATCATTGATAAGCATAAGGATAGTCTGAAAACAAACCTGAAAAAGTGCCAAATCGACCCCCTCACCTGGGAAACGATTACTCCACATTGTAACGCTTGGAGGAGCACCACACGAGAAGGTGCCAATACTTTCGAGTTAGCCCAACTGCAAACCGAGGCAGACAAGCGTTAACGCCGGAAAGACGCTGCTGCCGCCCCTCCCGCACTAGATGTAACCCTCCACATGTGCAACATCGGTTTCTTTTGCCACCTTAAATCTCACCAACGAAGGTGACATCCCTAATAACTCATATCATTGTATCATAGCTGGATGATCGTCATACTCGATTCCGAGTGACAGCAAAGTAGTAGTAGTAGCAGTAGAACTGTGGTTGGATAATCACACCCAGTTGCTAGACCTACCACAGTGCCACACCCAGCTGCTGAGGGGTGTGGTTATAGCGAGCCAGCACGAGTGTCACCGCTGCCGTTACTTCACACTATCACAACCAGTTGAAACATTATCAATAAAGTCTTGACCATGAGATGACTTGTTCTCTTACCAAAGTCGGAGGAAACTTTACAGCAGATACCGCGTGTGCATGTGTCTGAAATTTCATAAATGGAGTTTTATTCATTCCAGATAAAACCTTTTACCTCTTGACTTTCCACCTGATGAACCTTTGACAGCTACGACAGAAAGGTCTCTGGGGTTCAAATGATCCCTACTTGTGTCTGAACTACTCTTAATATAGTTCATTAAACAAAATTCATAGAGATTCAAAGTTCCTGTACTTAGATGAGTTCACTTACAGGGGGCCGAGTGAAACAAGTTGTGTTACTTATTATGTGGCCGTGTACCAAGACAAAACAACTCAGGTTTATATCTATTAGTAACCTGTGATGTTGGGAGATTGGGAGTGAAGAACATGTCTGTGCAAAGAGAAAGGTCCCATGAAACTTACTGAAGCTTGCGCAGGTCTGTAGGGACGACATTGTGAGTTGCAGCGAGTGGGTTCCACAGTAGGCTATCGAGGAGGCCCGGTCAACAACCCTCGTCGCCAAGTGTTTAATAGTTTTATAATTTGCCCCGCGAGGAGGTTATATTATTGGGCACTCCCTTGCGACCTGTGCAAGGTGAAGCGCAGAAGCATTTACAGAGCCAACAGGGAAACTTGCAGAGTTCATGCTTGACCCCCGTGAGTGAGGGTGCTGGTACGTGGCCTCTACCTGATGACCTTCTTTGATACAAGGAGTAGAACAATTAATGGTCTGTTAAGTTATCTGAGGTACAGCCACCCAAAAGAGTCCTGTCGCCTCTCATCCTGACCCATGAACCCGAGATTCAGACTCTTGAATCCGAAGCATTTATGGACAGAATAATGTATCAGTGTCTACTGCTTCGGGTTCACGAGTCTGAATCTCGGGGTTCGTGGTTCAGGATGAGAGGCGACAGGACTTTTTTGGGTGACTGTACCACTGTTCGGTAACACAATCGCCGAGGTCAGTTCTTTCAAGGTTGACTACCGTAGATGCTTTTACGAGGAGAAAATGAATGGCTAGATTGTGTAAGAGATTATAATTATGATGTAAATTCGAAACTGAATTTAATCCGGAATTTGAGGGGTGGTGAATTACTGTAATAAAAACATCCTGAGACATGATCACAAAGTTTTGCGTCACAGAACATATCATACAACTCCAGGTGACCACAACACGTTCGTCACACAGCCTCTCGACTACCGCTCTTATGTTGACTAGCAGTATCAAAATTTACCGTTCATTTTTTTTACTTTTAATTGATCGATGCGAACTGAAAAAAAAACAGATTACAGTTTAAAACAGACACTTTGGTCAACTGTACAACAGAAGTAAATTGGCTGATGATTATCTTTTTCTTTTTTTGCGAAATCGGTTATTTTACAAAAACAATTACAA